ACTTGGGTTTTAGATTTCGAGATTGGGATACTCATCCCTAAGACTGCTACTTAAAGGGTTCTGGGGTCTTTGTTTGTTCAAGACAAATGATGCTGTTTAACATCTTCTGGTGAACTTGCTACACAGCCGTAAATTGTACCATGGGATGCAGGCACTGTGTGATCTATTCTTGCCTCACTAAGTTCATCTTCCTTGCTTATCGGCCAAATCTGTTCTTAGATGCTTTCTGTCAATCAACTCCTTGCCTATGGGTCCTGGCTAACATCTCCCTGCAATGCTGTGTGTGCCTGCTTCTGAACAATGCTGACACATCTTTCAGGATCCAGATCAAGTATGCAGGGAAGTTTCTCTGGCCTCCAGTCTCATTCCTCCACCCCACAACACCTCTATTTCCTATCAGAGTTCTCACAAAGACCTTAAATAATTCTTCACTGTGGTTGCATCAAATGTTGGAGTGTCACTTCTAGCCTGTGCTGATGAATTTTAATAATCAGTTTGTCAGAATCTAAGAATCATCTGGGAAGAGGGTCTCTATGAAATCCTTTCCAGAGTAGGGTGGCTGTGGGCAGGTCTGTGGGGGATACACAGAAGGGTCACAGTGAAGCTCATGGGCCTTGGTGACCCGAGCTGATGGCTTCTCTGGCACTCTCCTTACAATGAGTCATTTCTCTTTAGAGAGTGAATGCATTGCTATAGTGACCTCCCACAATACCCACGTGTTTTCACTACAACCTTCTTGGCGGCAGGAATCAGCAAGAGACAACAATCAAGTATGTGGTGGCCTCATGTCTCCCAGTGTTCTCACCAGTGACAGATTAAGATGTCTTTAGGGCCTGCCTGTGCCACTCAGCTTGGAGCTCCAAAAGCAGGAGCTCAGCTCTGGCCTCAAGCACTTAGCATAGATCCTGGACATAGTACTTAGCACAGGAAGCCATGCAGGTAATAACATTGTTAACAGCAATGACAACTTCTCGACATCAGTCGGAGCCATCTTCCAGGTACAAGGCTGTGTACTTTCCACAGTTCTGGCATGTTATCCCCGCCAAACCCACTATGGTGGTTTGAATAAGAATCCCCCCACCCCGTAGGCTCATACATTTGAATGCTTGGTCCCCAATTGGTAGAACTGTTTGGGAAGGGTTAGGAGGCCTTGTTGGAGCGAGGCGTGTTACTGTGTGGACTTAGAGGAGCTCTATTTGCAATTAGTTCTCTCTTTGGCTTGTGCTTGTGGATCAAGATGTGATCCTGCCTGGCTGCTGCCATGTGATCCTGCCTCCCTGCCATGGTGGTCATGGGTTCTAGTCTTGGGTTTTATAAGTCGCTTTGGTTATGATGCTTTGTCACAGCAATAGACACACAACGAAGACACTCGTTGAAGCACACTGCAGTACTGTCCACCACTCCATTTCCCAGAGCAGGAAGCTAAGACTGGCTGCCAGCTGGCCAGTTAGCATTCCCTGATTTCATCACGAGGGACGCTTGGTGAGCATTGTGTTGGATATTGGGAGTCACCCCTTACTCACTGTACCCGTGGGGGAAGCCAGACTTTCAGGGAACCTATCTCCATCACACCTGGCCGCTGATGCTCCTTCCAGGCCACTTGTGCCTGGTCCCCAGGCTTTGACCCTCCTCTCTGACCTGTTCCTGTTCTATAACATAATGGGCTCTCTCAGCTTGCAACGCTGTTTTGCTCCTCTGGGCCTCGATATAGGCTGGTCCCTCGGCCTCAGTTCCTTTCCTGGTCTTTATCCAATAGAAAACACCCTCTGTATCGCCTTCTGCAGGAACCCATCCGAAACTACCCGTGAAGAGGCCGTTCTCCCCTGCAGCCTGCTCCCCACCTCAAGCTGCTGTTTCTCCCTGTGCTCTGACACATGTCTCTGCCCCCCCCCAGGCCTGAGCCTCAGGACCAGTGCTTCATCTGTCCACCTTATGCTCCCCTCCGAGTCTCACACTCCCTTCCTGCTAACTGAAACCTTGCCCAGGGAGTGTCCCCTTTCCATTCTACCTCAGCTGGGGCACTTCTGACTGCTATTCTGATACATCTTAGAGGCTTCTTCCAACCAATGGAGAACCCCATCTTCCCTTTCAATGAATGAACGTTCAGTTCTGGGCATGTATCTCTTCTAGAAAAGTCTTAGTGTATAGCCTTCCAGGACCTTACTCATCAGCCTGCTCTGGAAGCCATGCGTGGAGCATTCTGGGAACTTGTTATCAGGCCTTGGAAGCAAACAGCTCCAATGAGTAAAAACAACACACCACCCCCTGGCTTTGGAAGTTCAGAACTTTGGGACCTTTGGGGGGGCTTTAATAAGCACCTTCCCCACAACCCCGAAATATGTGGCTGCTGCTGTGGACCCCACAGTCCCTGAAAACATGGCCATTTAGAGATCACCTTCCAAAGACCATGAGCTTCTCTTCAGTGCAATTGCTCATTAATACAGGCCCAAAGCTTCTCTAATCAGGACACCAGAAGCCCTGAATCGTACATACAGCAGTGACAATAAACTGACTCCTGTCCGAGAGAGAACAGCTTTTTTGTAGGACCCAGTGATCAAAAGCAGCTTGGTAGAGAGATGGGAGCATGGGCTTCAGACCCAAAAGACTTCAAATTCCAGCTCCCTGTCTAAGTACGTGTGTGTGTGTGTGTGTGTGTGTGTGTGTGTGTGTGTGTGTGTGTAGACAACACACCAGTCACGATAAAAACACCATGTGGTGATTTCTATAGAGAAAGAATCAGACAGAAACCCCAAAGCATGGAGTGAGGGACCCAGACAGACTGTATGTATGTCCAGATGCCCAATGCCTGGCTGAGAGCAGCCGATGAGGTGGCTGCAGCTTGCCTCAGTATGGCAGAGATAAAGCGGGGGAACTCCCTTCTAGGAAAATGCCCGAAGGAAAACTATTAATGACTTTTCTCCCTGTGACAAGATACCTGACAGAGGCTACCTAGAGAGGCAGGGGTTGGATTAGCTCAGTCATCTTGAGGAAGGCATGGCTGTATCCTGGAGGCAAAAGCCCATGCATCTCTGGCAGAAGGAGGGAGGGGCCGCTTGCTGGCATCTCTGTGGATCAGAAGTCAGAAGCCAGCTGGGCTGTGACTGCCAGTGTCTGCCCCTGAGGTGACCCACTCCTCCAGCTAGTACCCCAACTTTCCAGAGTTCCAAAGCCTTCTGAAACATGGCTACCCACTGGGGACCAAGTGTCTGAGCACAGGAGGGGGCAGTTTACACTCACCCCGTAAGAGTTAAAGGGAGAGATGCAATGGGGTGTGACAGAGAGCTGTGGGCAGAGCGAGGACAAGGTCCAGGTAGAGAAGGCGTGGAGGTCAGCACCATGCACTCACAGCAAGCATCATGTCTTAGCTCTGCCTGACCGTCTCCCTCCTTCCCTCCCTCCCCTCCTTTTCTCTCATTTTCCTTCTCTTTGTTCTGGGGCTCGAACCCAGAACCTCAAGCATGCAAAGCAAGAGTTCTGAGTGCCACTGAGTGCTCCAGCTCCTGCACAGGTGAGTCTGGGAAGGGAGAGACGCTCTTCTGAGTCACGCCTTCCTCTCGTAGTTCAAGAGAACATGTTTCACTAAAAGGGAGCAGCAGAAGAGTATAAGGTCATTCTTTTAAAAAAATATTACAAATAAAAGTGGTATGAGCAGACTGAGGCCCTTATCATAAAGGCGCACAGAAAAACCTATCAAGGGAAACCCGACTGTCCTAGAGCAGGGGAGAGACTCTGAAGCAGACAGAACCATCTCATTAATATTCCACAGTAAATCAGGCCTCTGAGTCCCCATCCCAGGCCACCACTTTCATAGGGTTGATCATGTGACTTGCTTTGCCCAGTGGAAGATTGGGAAATGAGATGCAAGCCAGTGGTACCATTCTATGCCATCTTAAATACTTCAATCAGATGGAGAAGCTCTCCAAGCCTTGGATACCTTATGTGTGGAGGCCATACATGGAGGGAGGGCCATCATCTTTATCCTGGTGACTCCTCCTCTGATGAATGTCCTGAGTGAGTATGGGAAGCCCAGATTGGCACAGGCTACCAACAGAGCTTCTGGGAGCCGTGCACAGCTACTGTTGTAAGGGGTTAAGTTCTCACATGGTTCATATTGCAGTGGCTGAGGGATAATACCAGCATTCAGAATTAGTAACGGCCGATGTCATTAAGAAGTCTAAACAGGTCACAAAAGAATAACACAAATGACAATAGAAAATACCCCAGAAACCAGGCAAAGAAGCCAGGAGAAAGGAGAAATGAAAAGAGAAGCATTTCAGGGATAAAGTGCACCAGAAGGCACACAAGACAAGCTTCAGGCAGGGCCTTAAAGCAGGTAGAACCAGCAGCAATCTTATAGAAAGTCAGGACTGCAGAGAGACAGCTCAGCGGGTAAAGACCTTTGGTACCAAACCTGATGACTGAAGTTTAATCTGTAGAACTTGCAGGGTGGAAGGAACGAGCTGACTGGAAAGTTGTGCTCTAATGTCCACACACAGGCTACGACGGCAATCATGCATGAGCATGCATGGATGTGCATGCCTGCATACACACACTGAAAATGTATTTTTTCCAAAAGAATGGCATGAAGAGGCACAGCAAAGAAAGTGACAAATACTGAAGACGGCAGAGGAGACCCAACAGGTGTCACTTCTGCAAGAAGCTGTAAGAAAAAAAATGGCTGGAAATCATACAAAGACAGACAAACATGTGACTAGGAATACAGATCCAGAATGACCAACACCAAGGCTAAACGACATTCTGTCAGCCCCATTGGATCCTGTGAGAAAGGATGGCAAAGCTTTGCTCCTATCTGGTGCAGAAGATATTTTTGTTTTATAGAAAATCAAGGAAAGGGGTGTTGCTGAGCAGGGGAGGCATATGGAAATGCCCCCCTTGCTGCAGAGGGCAGGAATCCTCCCGGGACAAGTGGAGCCCTGCGTAGGATGCAGGAGGTGAATGGGTGGCCTCTGACGAGGCATGTGCAAGTGTGGAATGCTCACCCATGTAGGGTTTGGTGCCGGCCATGGAGGAAGCCTTCTCTGCTCCTTTTACGACGGTAGCGATGTTGAAGTCCGTGATGTGCACATGCCCTACAGAGAGAAAACAAAGTTAGCCAGCTCCGTGGATGTCTGCGCTCTCCCACTGTGTGACCAGAGGCTTTAGTCTGTGGTCTACATGGTAGGTGCGGGGATACAGACAACACAACTTGTGTCCATCCCCAATTGATGTCTGCCTTTCATAGCGTTTATTCTGCATTCAGATTTTAGAGTGAGGGTTCATCACTGTGTGCATATTATTTGTGTGATTATGCTTGTGTTGAGGGGCTGGATGACACATGGGTTGATGGATATAAAGTTAAGATACACTGATCTGGAGATGGATGATCAGTCTGGGTGTCACTTGAGACATCTTGGAGGGACTGTGGTGGGGAGGGCTGTGGTTTACTGTGTTCTCTGGACTTTTAGCATTGACCGTGATGGACCAGAGGTGGAAGGGGACAGCCTTTGTCCTACCTAATGCTATGGCAACTGATGGGATTTGAAAAGACCCTATGATATAGATGCCTAAGAAGTGAGAGAGGAAAGAGATAAAGAGAAAGGGGGAGGAAACAGGGATGAGGGATGCAGGTGAAAGGAACGGGGAAGGAAGGGGAAAGGCAGAGAATCCTGTTGGGTCTACACTTGCTCTCTGGGGCATTTGGCATGTGAACAAACTAGCCCAGAGGGACAGATGGAAAATCTGAGCATAATTTTTTCTCCCAGTCATCGTACTGTGCGAAACAGCATTTTGCCGTTTAGAATGAGGCACTTGCACACAGATAAGGGCACAAGCAGAGCTGGCATGGTAGGCACTTGAAGGTCAGCTGCTGGAGCAGGTGCAAGGAGGCCCAGAAGACAGTGTGTGTGAAAGGCATGCCCAATGTGGTCAGCCACGGTGGACCAAAAAAGCAACGGTAGCCTCAGACACTGACACGGTACTCATACCACACAGGGGCTGGCCCCAGAACTGCGGATTGCATCACAAGCTCCCCAGCCTCCCATGAGAAACTACTTATTGGCTTCTCCAGGATCCAGGTCGGTCCCAGCTGGGATGACCTGTGTTTGTGCTTCACTGCCATCATGTCCCCCAGCTAAGACCAGGCAACAGTGACCAATGGGCAGGCAAGTTCACCTCGCTGAGTGCTCCATGGGGCATCTGTGTGAGGGAGGCATCAGCCTTTGCTGTGCTCCACACATGAGCAGCTCCATGCCTGACATACCTGCAACCACAGATCGGGTTCCTGAGCCTTGGATGTAGCTTTTATTCAGCTTTCTTCCATTTGTCCTGCTCTTTAAAAGCTCCAGTGTTTATATTGGGAAAGTAATGCCAGCTCATTAGAATAAGAAGTCAAAGAATGTAGGATGTTTGTGAGTAACCTGTGTGTGCATGTGTTTGTGCACATCTTTGGGTGGGGTTGCACATACACACAAATGCATATGTATCTAGAATCCAGAGTTCAACATGGGGGGGTCTTCCTCTATTTCTCTCGCTGTATCCATAGACACAGTCTTTTGACCCTGGCTACTTCCTCTATTTCTCTCGCTGTATCCATAGACACAGTCTTTTGACCCTGGCTACTTCCTCTATTTCTCTCGCTGTATCCATAGACACAGTCTTTTGACCCTGGCTACTTCCTCTATTTCTCTCGCTGTATCCATAGACACAGTCTTTTGACCCTGGCTAGACTGGTTTGCCAGCAAGCTCCCCGCCCCCCCCACCACTCCCATCTCTGCCTCCCCAGAACTGGGATGACAGGTGTACCCTGGGCAACCAATGTTTCATAAAGTTCTAGGGATCCAAATTCACTTTACCCCTTGCTTTCCCTTTACAAGCTGCCCCGTTTCTCCATGATCCAAATGTCATTGGCTAGCTTCTCCGCTAGTTATCCCTTTGTTTATGTAAACACATATTCACATAACCTGGGACTTTAATGTGTTCTTATAACAATGAAGCTATTGTCATGGCTCATCGTTACAAGCACTCTTACCCAAAGGCCTGGTCCCGCTGCTACATTCGCCCCAAATGAACACTCAGACACAGATACTGGTTATAAATCTGTTGGCCAATCACTAGGGCTTATTATTTGGCTAGCTCTGTCATAATTATTAGCCCATTTCTATTAATCTATGTATTTTCAGGTGGTCTTATCTTACTGAAGAATGTCTCTTACAAGCACTTACAAGGCTTTAACCCGATACCGGGATCTGTGACTCCTTTGCCTGCTACATCACAACTGTTCTGGTGGGCACTCTTGCCTACTTTTCCCAGACTTCTCCTCCTCTCCTAGTCCCTCCTTAGTCCTGCCTCATTGGCCTTTGGCCCAACAGTGTTTTATTCATCAACCAATAAGAGAAACATATACAGAATGGCAACTCCCACCAACTCATCCTGAAAATGATGAGACTTATTCATGTTTAACAAGCATTTTTCCAAGTTAGAACACACAGGTTTACTTAGGATGCCTACAATCCCAATATCCTGTGTGTTAGATTGTCCATTGTTGCTGTAACCACATAGCTGAGGCTGGGTGACTTAATAAGCACATATCTTTGGAGGCTGAAAACTCAAGTCTGGGTAGAATCTTCTCTTGTCCTCTAGGAGTAAGGCAAGTGGCTGTGACAGAAGCCAATCATTCAACACTCCCCAATCTTATCTGGAAATGCAGCCTATAATCCATTTGGGATTAACAGAACTTCAGAAAAGCAGTCTGTTTGTTTGTTTGTTTGTTTTTGAGAACGAAGTACTTCCTTTTCAGGAGGAAGCAATGATGACATTCTCTGCCTTCTTCCCATGTCACATGGGAAGCCAGTTATTCAGGGTCAGTAGGATGACAAAGATGAACACGGGAAAGGGAGACAAATGAGTCCAAAGCCGGATCCAACTCCTTCACACCACTGCACTTCAGCCATGAGTGCTGTACAAGACAATCCCAAACCAAACCAAGCCACACCACCTTTCAGTGTTCTAGAATTGTTCGAGTCAGGCTCTGGGTCACGGGTGAGGGCTGTTGTCCCAGTTGATGCTGTCACCGACGACTCTGGCTTGGACAGGTCATTTGCTTTCCACAGGTTTATGTTTCTTATCTGTGGGGCTGAGACACCATTAAGCTTTGGTTGGGGTGATGTGTTCGTTGTTTCTCTTCTCCTATGATAAAGTACCATGACCAATCAACTTAAGGAACAGTGGTTTACAGTTCCAGAAAGCTAGAGTCTACAGCTTGGCTGCAGGAGAAGGAGGCTGGATGATCACATCCCCACTGTACACAGGAAGCAGAGAGAGAAAAAGGGCAGGAAGGAGGACTATAAACCCTCAAAGTCCACCCACAATGGTCTTACTTCTTCCAACAAGTCCATGTTTTCTAAAGCATTCCTAACCTCCCAAGATAGCACCACCAATGAGGGCCAAGTGTGCAGGTCTATGAATTTATGGGGACATTTCTCCTTCAAATACAGTGTGATGGCTAACCTGATTGCCAACCTGACAGGATCTAGAATCATCCAGGAGACAAACTCCTGGGCACACCTGTGAGGGGTTACCTAGATTAGGTAGCTGAGGTGGAAGGACCCACCCTAAATGTGGGCAACACCATCCTAGGGACTGTGGTCCTGGAAGAAAAGGAGAGACACCATGAGGGGGCCAGCGACATTCGTCTCTCTCTGTTTCTTGACTGTGGGTGCCATGTGATCAACTGCCCCACACTCCAGCCACCTTGACCTCCCTGCCATGATGGACTGTGAACCTCAAACTGTGAGCCAAAAGTGAATCCATCTTTTCTTAGGTTGCTCTTGCTGGGTATTTTGTGACAGAAACAAGAAGAGCAAGTAATATGGATAGTTAAAAAAATTAAACTGAGGATGTGGCATAGTCTGAAGGAAAAGCTGGGTAGGGCGTGGGATGCTGTTAGCCCCTGAAGTAAGATTTCTGTTAACAGAAGGAACCACGAGGGACCAGCAAGGAGAGGAGAACAGCCTTGGAAAAAGTCAGGGCAGAGGTAGGCTGTGTTGGACCTTCAGAACTGTAGGGACATTGGCTTTTACTCTTTCTGAGAAGGTTGGGACCTAACCTGACTTGTTATGAATGTCACCTTGGGTCCCTGCCATGAGTAGATTATGCAGACAAGAACAAAAGCAAGGAAAGTGGGAAACAGTTTAAAAAATGCAAACCCTTTCCAGTGTAAGCTGCACAGGGCTACATAACTGCTGAGCAGACCTCAAAGGACACATGAGTAGGCTGAGTGCCGTTATAAAAGGGTCATTACACTAGTCACCTCCTTTCCCCTTCCTCCTTCTGCTATTGGAGGATGCAGCAACAAGGCTCCTTCTTGGGAGCAGCCTTCACTAGACGCTGCCCCTGATGGTCTTCAATCTTGAGCTTCCAGCCTTTGGATTTGGAAGTTCTATTATTTGTAAGCTACTCAGTCTAAGGGATTGTTACAGTATAGGAGCAGGCTAAACATAGTCCCTTTCTTGATTTTAAAAATAGCTCCTTGCTTGCTTTAGGTAGACACAGGGAGACCTCTACACCCTTCATTCCCTTTGCAGGGTGTTGTCTTTTGCTGAGAAGACACACCATGATCATGAAACCTCTCCTAAGAGAAAGCATTTCACTGAGGACTTGCTTACAGTTTCAGAGACTCAGTCAGTCCATTATCCTCATGGCCAGGAGCATGGTGGCAGGAAGGTAGGCATGGTCTTGGAGACGTAGTTAGGAGCTACATTCTGTTCCAGATGCAGAGAGACATGAGCCAGGCCTGGCATGGGCTTTTTAAACCTCAAAGCTTGCCTCCAGTGACACACCTCCTCCTCCTCCAACAAGCCCACGCCTCCTAATCTTTCTCAATTAGTGCCACTCCTTGATGACTAAGCATTCAGATATATGAGCCTATGTGGGGCCATTTTCATTTAAACCACCACAGATGTTACCTCCGTGATGTCATCCAAACCCAATCACCTTGGAAAGTCCTTACCTTAAATACTACAACCAGACCCCGATCACATGAACCGAGGGTGGGACACTCTTCACTCCACTACATCCTGGACTAGGACTCTCG